AGTAGACCCGCTAGACAGTAATTCCCAATTGCTAAGTCCAACGATTGTTGGAGAAAAACATTACTCAGTCGCTAGGGAGGTGCAGAAAGTATTGCAGACCTATAAGTCTTTACAGGATATAATTGCTATTTTAGGAATGGATGAACTATCAGAGTCAGATAAATTAATTGTTACTAGAGCAAGAAAAATACAACGGTTTTTATCGCAACCTTTCCATGTTGCTGAAGTGTTTACTGGAGTACCTGGTAAATTTGTCAGTTTATCTGATACTATTGATGGATTCCAAAGCATAATGTCTGGTCAGTATGATTATTTACTGGAAGCAGCTTTTTACATGGTAGGCAGCATTGATGAAGCAGTGGAAAAAGGTAAGACGCTTAAAGCAAAAGTAGCATAATTAACCGGAAGTTCTATGTAACACGTTACATCGAACTTCCGTGGCATATATAGAAACAATCAGGCTTAAAGCGGTTTAGCTGCTGATTGTTAAATATTGATTTGCTAATAATCTTATTTTTATACAGCATAAAAATAAGATTATTAGCGTTTATTAGTTAAAATGCATTCGAAGAACAGCTTCAAGGATGCATTTTTCTTTATAACAAGCCAATTCGATCATAAGAATTATTAATTCTTATGATCGAATTGAGGTATGATTAGTAAGATATGAGTAAAACAATTGCTGTTAAAATTGCAACACCAACAAACGTAACATTTGATCAAGAAGCCCAAATGGTAATATTGCCTGGAGAACTAGGGAAATTTGGGGTTCTACCAGGACATGAATCATTGATTGCCAGTTTAAAAACTGGGGTAGTTAAAATTACAGTAAGTAATAGAGTGTTAAGATATTTTATCTGTTCAGGACTAGCGGAAGTTAATAATACAAAGGTAAATATAGTAACAGAATTTGCTATTGACGTTAGCACCTTACAATCAGTAGAAATAGTTAAAAAACTCGGATTATTGCGAAAAGCGTTAAGTGAAGAAACTGATGATAAAAAACTTGATATTATTAAATCAGATAT